AACCGCAGAAAATCCCACTTCACAAAGACAGGATGGTATAGATAGGAGGAGTCTTGAACTAAATTAACCTGTGTCAAGAGGCACAGATGCACCGACTGATGTAATTGGGAGAGAATACCGCAATTTTTTACATTTTTCAAAATAAAACATCACTCAGACTCTGATCATCGATAAATTTTATATTTATATACTTTTTTCTGTGCAGCCCGGTACCAAATGACCGACGGACCGGTACCGGTCCGGTGTTTGGGGACCTCTGATCTAAGGTGTTAATGGCAGCAGCTCTGCTCATATTTCCTTCCAGTATCGGCGTCGCAGCCAAAGAAACCCTGCTAGACGGAGCTACTTTAAAAGGAAAAAGCAGAAAGATAATGTTGGGTGATTGAACTAACGAATACTGCAGAATTAGAGAAGAAAGAATGATGAAAAGTGGTCTCTATGTCTTCCAGCAGCCTAAGCCTATAGCAGCATAAATACAGGAAATATAGCTGCCATTGTTCCAGGCAAAGAAAGGATAGGGTAGCTCCGCCCGACGCGTATCAGACCCACTTTTCCACCATGCAGCTACAGCAGCAAAGATGCATCAGAACTTAACTTGTACAAGCATCAAAAATGAAGCAGCACGCGCATTTTTGCTGCCATGCTGCGTGTGGTCTGAACGTAGCTTAAGCCTAAACTTCTTCATTCCTGTTTGCTCATTCAGAAGTTCTTTATAGTTGTGAAAAACTAAAATATAGGATTTCTGGTCAGATGATCAGGAAATAAACTTTTAGGTGATCAGAACATCGGATATATTAATGGTAACTTCACCACCTAACTATATATCACTGGTACTTTACAGCATCTGGCGTACATTTTTTTTTTTTCATTAGACATTTTCTAGTGTATTTACATCTTAAGCAACAAATTTATTGTTGATCTGTATCAGATGTGTCATCTTGTTTTCCTGCTGCCTCTAGGACTCAGCTCCACATATATTAGAATTTTTGCTTGATAGAATTTATTTTAAAAAATACAAAAATCTGTTTTCTGGGACATTTTCCTTCTCTTTTGCTCATCTACAGTTTTACACTGAGTCAGAGGTTCTATCCGGTGTCCGCCCGAAACTGGACCACCTTAGACTCAGTGCAGCTGGAGGTGCGCTCACTCAGGCAAACGTTTTCTTACGTTGGGAAACGTGGGATCTACTCCCCCGTCGAGTACTCCTTTCACTGCCAGTCCGTCACCAGCTTTGTGGATGCCCTGCTGATTCCCGACAACCAAAGCACGACTCAGTGGTTGCTGAACTTCAACGACTTCCAGGTACCGCCGTTTTCCTGCTGTCTCAAATCTCAAGTTCTTAGGCTACGTTCACACAAAAGCCTGTAGTGACCCAAATCCGATTTTTTTTTTTTTTTTTGGCCAATATGTGACCTGTATCTTGTCTTTTCATGGGAGTCTGAACAACACAAATCAGATTTTTTTTTTTTCAATGCGACCATTAATACTATACAAAGGTCACTATTGTGTGTATGTCTATATATACACACACATATGTATCTGTATATATATGTATGTATGTGTGTATATGTGTGTATGTATGAATGTGTGTATGTATGAATGTGTATGTATGAATGTATATGTGTGTATGTATTTATGTGTGTATGTATATGTATGAATGAATGTATATGTGTGTATGTATGAATGTGTGTATGTATATTTATGTATGTATGTATGTATGTATTTATGTATGTATGTATGTATGTATGTATTTATGTATGAATGTATATGTGTGTATGTATGAATGTATATGTGTGTATGTATTTATGTGTGTATCTATATGTATGTATGAATGAATGTATATGTGTGTAAGTATGTATTTATGTATGAATGTATATGTGTGTATTTATGTATGTATGTATTTATGTATGAATGTATATGTGTGTATGTATGAATGTGTATGTATGAATGTGTATGTGTTTATGTAT